TAAGAATAGGTTTATGCTAAAATAATTGAAAAAAGTAAAGCGATTCGCGCTAAACATCTAAAACAAGTCCTCATTATCTATTAAATACATATATAAAGTCCTTAATCACTAAATTTGAAAAAAAATTCACAAAATTTGATATACATCTATACATAGTTTTGATTTACATAGTTGAACTCACCCCCAACGTAACATGTGAATATGATCATTGTGATCATGCTATCCAATCAAATGCAAGATTTGGCATACACCATTCACTCCGTTATGCAAGCATAACTACGTTCGTGGTAATCGTTAGTCAAATAATGGAAAAAACATTAGAACAGTTCAAAAAAGCTATTTCAAATGAAAATTGTTTTGATTATAACCAATTCACAAGCCTTGCACAATTTGACAGTGGAGGTTGTGGAGAGATTTTTAAGTGCGAAATGAAAGATAGAAATTTAGTAGTTCTTAAGTGTCTTAAATTCGATACTGACTTAAGTTTAAATAAAAAAATTGAAAAAATTAAAGAATTTATTAATGAGGTATTATTTTTTACGTTGAAACTTTAATTATATTCTATTAATAAAATAATAAATTAAATTCATAATCATTATTAGCTTAAAATACTACGAAAAATTAGTGGCCTCCACCCGAACATTATTGCATTTTATGGTGTTACAAAAGGTATTTCTGAGCATTAAATAATTATCATTTAAACGAAAATATTTGTCTAATGAGAACCTATAGATAATGACGGACATTATAGCATGGTTTTAAAGCATGCTGATGGGGGGAATTTACCTAAATACCTAAACAACAAAAAACTACAATGGACAAATAAATTAAGTATAGCTAAGGAAATAGCATGCGGGCTTTCATTCTTGCATAATAACAATATTATTTATAGAGACCTTGTAAGTACTATATATTTCATTTGATTTTATATTTATGAATTCACTAATACTGTACTCTAACAATTTAGCATCCGAAAAATATCTTAATTCATCAAGAAATTCCAAGAATTGCAGATTTTGGACTATCAAAACAGATCAATGAAATACCTATGACCTTAAATTCAAATTTTGAGGATCTTGAGAAGTGCCCTGAGGAGGATCTTAAAGGTGTAGTAGAATACACAGACCCTCAGTGCCTTATGGGCAATGATAAAAGTAAGAAATCTGATGTCTATAGCTTTGGTATAATCCTTTTGGAAATTTCAAGCAGAAAATCGCCATTCCAAAACATAAAAAAACGACTAGCCTTCAGTATTCATCTGTGTAGAGGAAAACGAGAAGATCAAATAGAAGGTACACCATCTCAATATATTGAGCTTTACAAAGTATGCTGGCATAACGATCCTGAAGAGCGTCCAGAAATAAATTCGATTCACAATACTTTAAGCAATCTTATTCCTGAAGAGGGACGGATCGAGAAAGGTATAGGTCACGTAAAGGAGGCACAAAAAAATGACTTGGAAAGTAGTCGAGAAATGTTAGCTCAAATAGGTGAATTGAAAAATCAATTCTTAGATCTGTGTGAAGCTTATGAATTTAAAGAAGCCTTAGAACTATACGTCAAGCCGCGAGGAACATGGAATGTGCCAATTATCAAAGGATTAGTTGGCAAAAAGGAAATGGATTACGAAAAAAAAGAAGGTGACGTTGAAGAAGTAGTTATGAGTTTTTTGACTTCTACAGATAAACTTACTTCAGATGATAAGCAAATTCTGGAGACTGAAGCCAATAAAATTTTGAGTTTAAGAGACAAGGAACCGCTAATTAAGACAGTTAATAGCTTTTTTGCTCCGGAGAATAAATTAACTTTGGAGGATATAGATGTTTTAAATGTAGCAGCTAACCAATTTTTGACTTTAAAGGGTAGTGAAGCTTGGAAGCTTCTGAAGATGGCGATAAATGAATTCTTCGACTCATCAAAAGATGAAAGAGTATTAAAAAATTTAATCAGCAATTTATTGGAAAGCTCACTTGTATTTGAGGACAAAAAATTTATAGAGAGTAAATTAGTAGACATAAGAGCTTTGAAATCAATTTTGGAAAAGGCCTCAAAAGAAGAAAATTTTGAAAAAACTGTCAAAGAACTTTTGAATTTAATAGCTAAAGAAGTTTTGGAAACAGCAGTAAATTACCTCATAAAATTGAAGCGTAAAAGTGTAATGCTGATATTAGGCAGCGGAGGTACGGGTAAATCGACATTTAACCGTTATCTTGCTCGTCTTCTATGGGAAAAATACCAAAAAGACAAGACACAACCCATTCCTTTATTTATCGCATTAGCGCCATTAGAAAAATTTATAAATCAAAATCAGGATTTTATTGAAGTTTACTTACATGAAAAGGGCAATCTATCCACAGTCCAAATTGAAGAATTACGAAAAAGGAAGTTTGTATTAATTTTAGACGGTTATGATGAGATTGCTGAACGTGATCGTCATTTCTATGATAGCAATATGTTCTCCAAATGGAAAAATGCGAAAATTATCATTAGTTGTCGACCAGAATATTTAAATCAAGGCTATGAAGAAATGTTTTGTCCTAAAAAAAACGGAAAAAGAGGGTTCCAAGAACTGGCACTTACACCATTTTCGCGGACTGAAATAGAACAATATATCGAAAATTATGTTAGTTATTTCAAGAAAAGTAATTTATTACTATGGGATGCAGACAAATATAAACAAAGCATAAACAATATACCACAAATAGAAGATCTTGTGTGCAATCCCGTTCTACTAAAAATTACTTTAACTATTTTACCAGGTTTTTTCAAAGACAATGAAACAACATCTCAGATAAATCGTAAAGTTTTGTATGATGAATTTATTAAACAATGGTTTGAACGTGCTCAAAATCGCTTAAAAAGTATTCAATTGAAATCTGAAGAGCAAGAGGAGTTTGATCGCTTAAATAATGATTTTACTAAGCATTGTCTACAATTTGGTGAAAATTTTGCTTTTAAGATGTTTGTAGACAATAATAAAGTAGTTGTTGACTATAATTTAGAAAATAGGGAGATCACGTCTGACTGGGCGACGCTTATAGGAAATGCAAATGTAAAATGTCGCTTGATGCGTTTTAGCATGCCATTAATTCGACGTGGAATCAATATTGGTTCTTCCATAAATCATTACGAGATTACTTAATCGCTTGTGCAATGTTAGATTCACTTCATGATATGTCAGAATCAACTCTCCTTAACAAGAAATCTATTATACCAGAACCTGCAATTCAAAACTTTTTAGTCGAAGGAGTTCAACAAAAGCCAGAGTACCAAGAACTGTTGCTAAATTTTATTGAACGTTCTAAAAATAATGTAAATATTCAAATTGCTTCCGCTAATGCCATTACAGTTTTATCATGTGCCAAAATACCGCTTCCAATAAATTTAGACAATATTCGTATTCAAGGGGCGAATTTGAGCAATGGAGTTTTTAAAAATTTACAATTTGTAAGAGCTGATCTATATAACGTGAATTTTCAAAATGCAGATCTTCAAAGTGCGAATTTCAAAGATGCAACTCTTCAAGATGCAAATCTTCAAAATGCAAATCTTCAAAATGCAAATCTTCAATATGCGAATCTCCGAAGTGCGAATATTCAAAATATATATTTCCAGAATGCGAATCTCCAATACGCAAAACTTGATGTTATCGGTGCATTTTATGTTGGAAATGGTTATTTATATGGAATTAAAGCTGAAAGTGATGGACATAAGGCGTTCATTTATTTTCAACAATCTGCAGAGATGGGGCATGCTGAAGGATTGTTTAGTGTTGGATATTGTTATGAATATGGAATTGGAGTTGAAAAGAATGAAAACGAAGCATTCCGATACTACCAAAAATTCGCAAACCTGAATGATTCCAAAGGAACTTATCAACTTGGATATTGTTATGGTTTAGGAATTGGGGTTGAAAGCGATAAAAAAAAAGCATTTGAAAATTATCTGAAGTCAGCTGAAGCGGGTAATTTTAACGGAATTTGGAGAACTGCTATTTGTTATCGTTATGGAATTGGTGTAGAAAAAAATTATGATAAATATCGGGAATGGATTGTAAAGTAAGTTAATCTTTTATTTTTTTTTTATTTTAAAAATTGTGAATATTTCATACAATTTTAATAATTCGTTCAATTTTAATAATTATCAGAGATCA